TAATACAATTATATATATATGTATATATATATATATATATAACTAAACGAACTTTATGGTTGTACGGCAGTGAAGCATCAGTGCCAACACTGATGTTGCTGTCATTGATGATGATGATGTCCGGGCTCTATTCATTGGGCGTTGCGATGAATGGCTTGACAAAGCGTGTATGTTTTGCATCCCTTTTCCTGAGGAGGGTGTTTTTCGGGTAAGCTTCTGGTTGCCGATGTCACCACCTTTGCAGTTGACCGGAACAGTGTCTCTAGTTCTCCGTGAAAGGGTTGGTTGTTATTGCTGCCTGCCTTGGACTGTTTCTCCACCTATACTAGCGTCGTTTTAAGACTGCATTGTTGGATGCGTCGTACTGTCGGGTTTTTGTTCGTAATCCACACCGCATTTTTCACACAGTTCATACGGACGCATTTAAGTGAGAGTTCTCTGATTGGCATCGATTTTCGATACCTAACTATTGTTGATGGAAGCGCTCTGTGGCTTACGACTGTTTGCTCACTCTGACTGATGGGTGGAATACCAGAGCAGCACAAGGTAGCCGTCAGTTGTTCGTCTCATGGTCCGCTTACCCCGAATCTTTGGAGCACATTGCATTCTACAGATCATCATCATAATCGTCATCGACAGCATGACATCAGTGTTCAACACCAATGCTTCGCTGTCGTATAGCATTGATTTATTTGCAAGTCTTATTGTGGAGAAAAGAATAAAGGTGGACGGGGGAAGGGACTTAGTGCTAGCCATATCTTGAAGTGTCTCCAACCAGGTGCAGTTAGGATCACGCGGTCCCCATTCTGAAAGGCGAGTAGCACCGACAGCCCCCAAGCGTTTCGTGATCTCCTTCATACCCCCCCTGATTGGGTAAGAGTTGGCCACCTCTCCGCTTCCGCCACTGTGGGTTGGGCAAACGATAGTTCGGCATACGCAACACATGTCCCAACCAACGCGATTTCTGGTGCTGGACACATTCTTCAATGGAAGTACCCATTGCACAACCGAAAACGCACTTTCTAACTGCCTCATTACGGATTCACCGACACCAACCCAACACGAGCTACAGTTCTGGGACAAAGATTGTCGAACACCTGAAGACGTCTCAGTTCCGCCGTTTGCATAGGCCGTCTCACAGCCACACAACAAGACATCCCGTACTGTTGCTTGATACACACGTCCCTTCCGATTCAGGGATAAACCATTCTGACGGCATAGGTGTCTCAAATTAGCAAACGCGGCCCGGGTCTTGCAGATTCGTGTACTTATCTCATCTGGCATACTATAGTCAGAACTAATAAATCCGAGATACGTAAAACGCTCCACAACTTCTAGTGCCTCTCCCTGGATTGTAAGTGGCGTGTTCAGTGACTGGATGTTCCAGAGCACGACCTTACACTTTGTGGATGCCAAGTGCATACCAAAGGACGGGATGATTTCGGTCAGTTCATCCAAAAACACTTCCGCCTTCACCTCCTCTTCGAAAATGAGAACGATGTCGTCTGCTTATTCCAGATCGATAAGGTTTTCGTCACAGGCTATTTGAACACCGGGATTTTGGAGACCTTACAGAGTTCGTCTCATGATTTCATCGATCACGAAGTTAAACGGGAATGGGGAGAGTGGGCATCCCTGACGGACACCGCTTTGTGTACAGAAAATTTTGGAGAGCTCTTCGTATACTCTCACACGTCCGGAAGTCTGGGAATACAAAGGACTTATTATGTTCACGAACTTCTGGGGCATTCCTTGGTGGGCAACCGTGTCAAGAAGAAAGACCTATCAACCATGTCGAATGCGGCTTGGAAATTCAGGAATACTAGAATTATGGGTCGCTTATCTGTATGTCGTTGTTCTAACACCTGACGGAGTGTGAAGATTTGGTCAATGCAGCCTCTACCCGGTCGAAATCCTGCTTGATTCTAACGAGTCAAGACTTCGCGCGCCGCCATGAGACGACGAAGAATCAATGACAGCAGAAGCCTTGTCACAACAGGCATCAAACTAACACCTGTGGTTGCTACATTCACTGCGAGTACCCTTTTTGAAAATGGGCACTACTATCGATTCACCCCAGTTGTCTGCGATGGTCTCCTTCTCCCAGATAAACCCAAATAGGCTAGACAGACACTGGCTGAGGAATCCACCGCCATCATTGAAAAGAGCAGGTGGAAGGTCGTCAGGGCGCTTTAGAGAACATATGCGGTCGTAAACCCCAGAGGCCGTAGGTGGTTCCACGTCCACCGTCCAGGGTTCTACTTCGCCTGTGGGCTCTAGATGAGTGCCAAATGGTGACCACAACAGTTGTTCGAAGTGTTCAGCCCACTGGTCGAGGCGTTCTTCCTTATTCTAGATGGTATTCCCATTCTGATGCTTGATGGTTTCGCTCACAGGTGGTTTCCGGGGTCGGTAGCACGGATCAATTGCAATAATATTTGGGCATTACCGGCTTTCTGGTTCTCCATCTGATTTAGGAGCGTTTGGAATAGACTGTAGAAGACGATTCTGCTTAGTTCATCTTGCATCCGGATCTGCCAGTCTCTCAGTTGCCAAGCGATTTGTCCGCACCTTATGCGGCCCTGGAAAATTTTGGGAGAAGCGACTCCGGACATGTGCGTGGTCGGAGTCCACAGATGTGTTCCAAAACGACCAGCAGTCAATTATTGATCCACCCCACCGGTAACTGATGGCAATGTGATCGATTTGAGTTCGTGGCTGGCATGCCGTTGGAGGACACCATGTGGCCAGACGATTTCGGCTATTTCGGAAGTTAGTACCGCATAAAAACAGCCTGCGATCAGCACACAGCTAAAGTAATTGTTCGCCACTGTCCGTACGTACCGAGTTCAGTCCATGTCAGTCACCTGATTGAGTCTTAGGTACGGTAAGCCTGCCCACTTGTGCATTCAAATCTTCGGCAACCACCACGATATCTGAGCTTTTAGCTCGCCGCAACAGGGCACCGTAAAACTTGTCTTTGACGGCATCGGGGCTACAATCAGTTGGGGCGTAAGCAGACATGATAAACGGACAACGATCAACTTCCCGCTTGTGGGACTCCTTCACAAACGTTGCCAGACGAACCGCACAGAGGCTACCATCAACAGGTATCCAGTCAAGCAAGGATAATTCCCCCCGATGGCTTAGGGAGATACCAGGAAGCGAGTGGGGACTGATGGGTAGCTCAGCCACTGCGTTTGCATCTTATATTCGTGCTTCTGCGACAGCACATCAATGCCAAGCGAGTCCATTGCGACAGTAAGAGCAGCTTGCTTCAGATTGCGGACATTGAACGCGGCCAGATAGACTGGGCGTCGAGGCTTGAAAATTGGTTTAAAGATACCTGAAGATGTCTGCGTCATGTGACGAGCAGGTGCTGGACGCAAAACCGATGCATGACGAACGGAGTCATCAGTCCTAAGTGCTGGGCGTACAAGGAGAGAGTTAATAATGGGATGGGGAGTGAGGGAAGAAGTATGTGAAAGAAGGGGGTGTCAGCAGTAGGTTGTTTTTGCGTACACGCCCTGCTGTATGCATCGAGTAAGGTGACTCGGCTCATGACACAACTCGATGGCCGATGTGGCATGAATTTAGTGTTAGACATAGGTATCATGGTTGTACGTGGACTTAGATACAGTCAGGACACCCACACCTAGACAGGAAAACGATTTCGGTCCTCAACCAAAGCAGCCTCAAGGCAGCGGTGTTTGGCGGGAAACACAAATGCTTTACTATTTCTACTGATTAAGTCGCCACCTGTTCTGGTGTTTGGCGGAAACACAAATGCTTTACTATTTCTACTGATTAAGTCGCCACCTGTTCTAACCCCCAACCTGGAGGGCCAGGAGACTCTAACCTCTAACCACTGACCAACCTGGCATGAGAGACTCTGTGAGTATTGCGGGGACACCCCCCAGTATAGCTCCATGGGTCGCTGAGGTGCGCATACCGTCTTTTTTCGGATAAGATATTCTGCATTCGTTTTTGGTAAGCTGTTTACTCTAATAGCTTCTTGATTGTTGATTTCTTTTTACCTATCCTCCCCTCGTCAAATAGGACCTTGCTGCATGTTTATATGATTTCCAAACTGCTCAAAGTGCTTGTCCCGAGTGCCCAGATGTTTACTTGCACCGTGGCCAAATCAATTTGTTGGCGGATCAGCTGGATGAGGCATTACACGATTTAAACACTGCTGTGAAATTGAAGCCTGAATTCTCCATTGCGCAGGTAAGCATGTGCGAAATGTTTGACGTGCTCCGAGTTCAACTATTTTGGTCACATGTTGCACGCCGTTTTATTTAGCATCTCATCATGTTCATTTGAGGATCTTAACTTCCGATCACGTGACCTATGCCAGTTCACCCTGGTATGCTACTTTGACTGCCCGCAGCGATTGGTTGATAACGGCGATTTCCGATCACAAGCAGCGATGAACACACTGCGGTTGCTTATTTATTTTCTGACTAACTGTTTCCCGCCTTGCGGTCAAACGTGCACTGAGGAAAACTGGACGATATATCTTGATATGCTTATGATGGTAACAAGACTTGTGACCACAGAATATGTACGAAAAATTTGATGATGTCTCTGTCTCCCTAGCTGTGCTGAAATTTAACTTGTGGTCTATCGCTACTTCTGAATAAATTGCTCACACGACTTTAGTCCAATGCCTACTGTACATGTAACTTTCAGACATGACTAAGGTCCACCTGGCATTCCCAAAAAAAGACCACTGTAAGTTGAATCACCCAACCATGTGAGTTTCACATCGATGTTAGTCTGAAATTCAGACAACCTTTGAATACAGCTCTCGGTTAGAATTTCCTTTAGTCAAATTAGAAAACTACACGTCCCTGATGAACCCCCTACAGAGCGAAATCGACATTAGGTCGCTGGCGAATCAATCTTCCCATACTGCTAATAGGCAGTGAAAGTCGCTTGCGCTCAGTTGAGTCTTCTGACGCAGTCACCGGTGGTGCCTATTGCAGTTGTTGTTGTTGTCTGCTTGAGATGCAGTGCTCATGTATCGGAGAGATAATTTGTGGTTTTTCACTTCGTTGCTTTGCCACATCATAATTGGCAGAAACCCCGGACGAGAACATTGATGCACACGACCGTGTCAATTCATTTGAATGAAGGCTTATAACCGAAAGGAGAGAAAATGGAATAAGATGGCTTGTTAATAAAGATGGTTAGTAGCTGCCGTAGTGTGGTTGATCGTTGAGCACTTGGCGCTTTTCATCCAGCGGTTTCGTCCTCAGTCAAGTTGATATCATAAGCGAGTAGTGGTGCAGCGTACATCTGCACAACGATATTCACTGCTTAACTACTTACTTGTGGTGTTAACTCGATTGGTGATGTAACGTTAGCGGGAAAGTCGAGCACGGTGGACAACCCAACCATCGGCTTATTTCAGGCAACACCGCTGGATGGAACAATACGTGATAATTCTCAATGATAAGCATTTTTTGTTATATTGGGATTTATTTTCGTTTCGACATCTGCTTCTTCGTGGTTCTTATTGTTTGACACCAAACTTGCGCGTTCGTAATGGCTTAGGTGGCCAGGTCATTAAATAGGTTCACACTAATACGCCAGTGTTACGGATATGCAAGAGGTCACAGCTGGCATGTCTACCAGAAACGGAGCAACACAATCTGCAACGCACATTTGTTTCCTACGCGATTAGGATTTCATTTCTTCCTCACGAGGAAGTGCGGAAGCAGTTCTTCCCATTTATCATTCCTCCTATGAAACAACACCTCCACCGAGGAGTGTCCGGGGATTTTCTTCGGAAAGAACATTACATGGTGTGATATCAATAAAGAGCGTTCGCCCAGCTGATAAGCCACCAGTGGTTGGAACCCCGGGTGCTTGTCCTTACTTATGATAGCACAAACGGTTAGCACGAAGCTGGGTGTGTCACTGCGAGTGAGCATATGACTATGATGTAAACACAAAGGAAGAAGATCAACAGACGATCTCGCAGCTATCCATTGGCTTAAACATGACGGAACTGCAATAAACCCTAGCCTCGCGTTAAACAATAAGGTGTATGTGTCATCCGCCAACTCCTTTGCATTTCAATATAATAGCGCACTTCAACCGTGCAATGCAATAGAGTCGTCCGTCGGGCACTGTACGCGACGAGTCATTCCGGTTACCATGGCTTAACAGTACATAGGGACACAGTTTCACCCATTGGGAACTGGAACGAACTCACCTCAACTTATCCGTCGGCGTTTCGCAACTGACATAGTATGTGGTAGCTGATATCCTGCAAGTCCAATGTTGTCCATGTACATTTGAGTCCACAAATTGAGCAACACCACAAGCTTCCCGGTGTTTGGTGTCGATGTCCTTGTTCAGAGTCGCTCAGAACTAGATTGTTTACGATCGAGTGTCTAGACCCACTGAGATTCGAGATGCGCTACATCCACTTCTATGGTCTTTCTCCAGTCATATTTGCCCGGCGTTAGACTTTCGCCGAATGTAGACTCAAAGTTAGTGCTTCTTAAACTCATCTGTAACTTGTCACCATATCCTAGTTTTGGCCTTTTTCGGCCTCTCAAGCCATTCTTCAACTGCCCCTGTAACGAGGACCAAGATCCGACACAATGCGCTCCACTTGCCTTGAGCAGTGAAGCTGATTTTGAGTTAAGCTGTTCTTCCACACGTTTTCGCCTTCGGAGAGTATTTGAGACCCGGTCTGGGTACAACTTTCCGCGTATGCTGCATATGAAGTCTGTCGAGGTTTCGAACATGACACCTGTAAACCGCACAGAAGTGGAGACAGTATGACAGCACGCTACTCGTGTTACATATATGCATATGAATTGTAATCTTGTATATTTCGAGCTAAGCACGAAAGGAAGATTACATCCACAGTAG